GTTAACAATCGTTAACAAAGGGTCGTCGTTTACGATCGCTAACGACGAAGGGTCCTCGTTAACGAAACAACGAACTTTATAAAAATGATCGTTTTAAAACGACCATTTTTAAAAAACAAACTTAAAAAACGATAGTTTTTAGAAACAATCGTTTCGTTTTCGATTTTTCTTCGTCGTTTTCATAACGAAATGATCGTTTTTAAAAAAAAATGAAAACCTTAACATCCCTATTGAAACCCTGTTTAGAAGAACACATGTGTGGGGATCCTTAATATAATTAGTTACCAGATGTATCCTTGAGGATGTGATTGGTTCAGAGAGAGTTCTTGTAATTTGATCGTATACAGGGTTACCCACACAGAATTGGGACTTCAGAACTCAGTAAAGTATAATTCGATCTAAAAAAAGTTTCCCGTTGCAGGGATCCAAGACTAAGAAAAACGACTCTTTAAATTTGGTACAGTCATCTCACTCTTTTTGGGTAAGCCTGTAGTTTAGTATCGGTGGGGGTAGGCCATTAATAGAATTAAAAGTATAGAGTTGTTAACACAAATTGGAAATATAAGGAAGACGATTTTACCAACTCAAATGCCGTAGCCTTTTCTCAAGACGTGTTTATCCATTTCCTCCATGTAGCACCCACATGTCAAACCCCGCTCATCTATAATACATCCCAGCTCAGTTAGGTTTGGAGAGTTGAGCTGGTAACAGCTCCGACACAGGGAGCCTCTTGACTCCTTTATGATGATGACGCATATACTCAGCGCGACGCTCCTGTTGATCTGCTCCACCAACATGAAGCTCTACATCACCCCCATGACTCCTTTATGATGATGACACAGATACTCAGCGCGACGCTACTGTTAATCTGCTCCACCAACATGAAGCTCTACATCACCCCCATGACTCCTTTATGATGATGACACAGATACTCAGCGCGACGCTCCTGTTGATCTGCTCCACCAACATGAAGCTCTACATCACTCCAATGAAGTACCCACAAATATTCATCATTAATTCCTTTGTTAATTTCTAAATCAACCAATTTTAACTCCGCCTTAAATGCAAATATTTCAAAACTTTCGTTTTTAAATAAATGCTAGAAATATCCATTTTTAGATCTCTTTATTTTACTATAGTGACTTTTAAAGTCAACAAGAGTATAGTTCAGAATCTCAAATACAGATGTCTCCAGTACAAATTCAAATTTCAACATATTAATAAGCATACTTTGATTTAGTTAATCCTATCATTTATCAATATCATATTGTTTGTATTAAAAATATTAATCAAAATAGTTTTTTTAAATCTACTAAATTCTTTCTTCATCTCAACCAAAAAGACCAGACAAACATTTTATAAACAAAAAAAAATATATTTTATGTAATTTTTAAAAAATAATATAAATTGTCTTCATCGTTTTATTAAGAAGTTTGTTTGAATTTTCACTTCACTACTTCAATTAGCTAATTCGTAATCTATCTATCTATACTAATACTTTGTTTGTCTGTTTCTTTGTTTGTATAAAAAAAACGTCAAAACAGCTGAACCGAAATTTAAAAACTTTGACTCTCCCTCCAACAAAAGAAGATGGGCGCGAAGCTTAGTAACATGATACCGAAAGTAACAATAAAATAGTTCTATAAATAAATAAACCAATTATTTGCTTCTTTATATGTTTATCTTTTAAAAATAAAATCTAAATGTTCCTGCTTACGTGAAGAAATGTTTTGTTTCCATGGGAAGCTTGAAAAACTAACGTTTGAAAAAATAATTGTGATTTGATTGAATATCGTAACAAAAGGATTTTTCAAGTTAAACTGAAAAATGCATTTCTGTTTATGAAAACGTTTTGAAACGTTTTCCCTTATGGTATAATGAAAAGTTTAATGTTTCAAAAATGGGTTATTATTTTAATAATCAGGAAACGAAAGTTTTTTATACAGAGTAAAAATTTTAATAATGTAACGTATAACATTTTAAAAATGTAATTCTGAAAATCAAAAAGTTTCATAACTTTTCTCTGAATACTAAATTGATTAGTCTAACGTTAGATATATGTCTGATGAAATATTGTTCATAAAACGTTTTGTTATGCTGGCTGAGTTTTAATTCAAAACAATAATTCTGCCAATTAAAACATTTCAAAACGTCTGTAATCTATCAATGTAAGAGATTCTACTGATTATTATGGCAGCAAAGACTAATGGTTTTTCATTTCAAGTTTAAAGGAAATGAGTTTATGCCACAAACTCAAATTTTCATAAACTATATCTGTGTAACCCGATGTAGTAGACCATTATTATTGAAATATAAATGGTTTAAACCATCAGGTTGGAAAAATTATGGGTATTAGTACATTTGAAAAAAAAAAACTTAGTTCCTTTCTAAAGTGTAAACGAGTTTGTTTGTAACATGCTATTAGTGAAAATTCAAATCTTATAAATGTTTCTTGGACATTAAAGGTTTTTGATTTGCCACTGTTTGATGAAACCCACTAAAACTCCATGAAAAGGAAGACGACATTTAAGAAAATTTGCATATACATCTTCTGTTATAAAGCAAATAATTTACTAATAGCAAAAAAAAACAACTTATTAAGTGGAACGGGTCTGTGAACATAACACAATTGCTGTGTTTCAAGTTTATTTGACTAATTGAAATCATAACTTGAATTGAAATTGAAAAATTTAGAAATGTAGACACTTACTAAAATGCAAAATTATTTTATCAATTGGAAAATGCGTGTTACGTTTTATTCATCAAAAGATTTTTGTGAAACTATAGAAATGATTTTTTAACCCCAAACATGAATCCTGAAAACATTTTCATTGTGGTTTGTAAACTAAAGCTAATGTCGCTCTTTTACTCACTTTACTCACTTTTATTGATGATTTAAAAATACCAGCGTTTTCCTTTCTGCTAAATGTGCTGAAATCATTACAAATCAATGCAAGCTACAATTCATTCATAAATAAAAAGATTTCAGAATACATTTAAACTGTCCATTCTTATTATGAAACACATGGCATAAGCATTTTAAAGGGTAGATTGTGACAAATACCAATCCCCCCCCCCTTTGACTCCTGAATACACAACTTTGCCCCATGGTTAGTTCTTTTGTTGAAGTTAAGTTTTCATGAGGTTTATAACTCCCAAAAAGTTCTAGGAATTGTCCCCCAAACTAATAAACCACCTTTTACCTTCCTGTTAAGTAGTTATTAATAGTTAAAAAAATCTATTTAATTTATTATCGATTTTAAGTTTAATGGACGTCAATCAAAAATTATCAATAAAAGTTACCAAACATGCATTAGTTAAATAGAAATAAAAGTTTATGAACAAAAAGGAACAAAAAGTTAAAAAAAATTCCATGTTGATTAAAAAAAAATCCACTCGGAATGTTTAATTATATTTTTGATCCCATACAAATGTCCTTCTTACAAAAAACAATTATTATAAAGTTTGCAATCATTTTAAATTTTTAATATACTTTTATCCTTGAATATTTTCCACACAGTATTTTACTAATTTTCTATCCTATATAGCTTTAATACAGGGGACAAAAGTTCCAAACCGTGATGATGTTCCAAACCTAACACTAAATGCGAAAATTTTGTGAAAACCATGAGTTTTATAGCTGCAATAATTAATATTTTGTGTTAATCCATCAATTAAAAATGAGTCTTTTATTCTAAAAATTTAGTCTTTTTTGATGAATGCAACTTTATCGCTAAAATGTTGCCATTGTTTTTTTCGCAAAATTTTCGTTTTTGCATAGTTTCCAGTTTTTCGCCAAGTTTTAGCAGTAATATTTTGCTAAATTTTGCATTTTTTCGCAAAATTTTTGCATTTTCTATTTTGTGAAAATTAGCATTTTTTCGCGAAACGGATTAAAGCGAAAATTCACAAAAATCGAAAATTTTCGCGAGTGAACGAAATGCGAAAATGAAGCTAAAAATTTGTTCTCAAAACGATTTTCCTTTTCGCTGGACACCAAATTGTGTAAATGCTTAAAAAGTATCATTGATTCATATCTTGAAATCGCGATATGTTCCAAAAACGTGTTTTGAGCCCAAACTTTGCATTTGATTCAAAACTGGGATATAATATAAATTAAAATTTATTTCTTCGTAGGGGTTTGATACCTACATTTTGTTATGAAAATGTAGCCTTAACTATCCAGAATTAAAGTATGCATGCAGATGGTTTTTTTCTTCTCGGCTTAAATTTAAAATTAGTAACAATTGAAAAAGATAATGGTTGGAACTGTGATATACAATATCTACACAATTCAATTAAAAGAGAAAAAGTTAAACGCTGTTTAAACCAATATCATTTCGTACTTTGTAATTTGATTTCTGTTTTCCTGCATTAGACCTGGGCAAACTTAAAACCATTTTGTGAAATCTTTATGGTTCATTGATTGTAAGAACAGTCTCATCAATCTGCTGTTTGTTTTAAAAAAACTAGGATTTTAGAGCGCTTCACGCACAATTTTCAAATGCCCATTTTTATTGTACTCAGATTTTTCTGTTTAATAATTTAATTTAAATATAGTAATAAATGTCCACATTTTATTTCAGGCAAAAACTGGTTGACGGTGAATAAGAAAAAGAATAAGAAAAAACCACTGATAAGCCAAATACTTGAAATACGTTTTAACTTCAATGGGAACTGCTCTGCGAAATAAGTTTCTACTACCCCCCCCTCAAAAAGATTTCTTTATATTTGGACTTAATAGATCCAAAATAAAAACAAGGATTCGTTTGAGGCAATGCATGTTTATCTTCAAGTTTATTGTTGACCTCGACTAATAAACATTGGTTCTGTTCTGTTTTAAATCAGTAATAACATAAGGAGCCAAAAGTTAAGAAAATTAATGAAATATTTCATTAATTTAAAAAATTACAATTTGTTAACTGTTTTACGGTGCCCACTACTGTTTCCAAGCCACTGCACTAGTGCATTAACAATATAACATAACAGTGAGTAGCTTAGGAAACTTTAGTTCCTGTTTTGATGTGTACACATGAACAGTGCCACTGAGTCATTAGATCATGAAGAAAACAATAATTTTGTTCAGGTAAATTCTGATTCTTTTGCTAGATACTTATCATTTCATCATTTTCAAAAAATTTGAAATCTATATTTAAGATGTTTTAATTCTTTCTATTCAGCCTTCTGCTGATGAGCTCTACTAGTTCAGGAGAACCTTCACTTTTCCACAAGGTTATAACCATCATCATCATCATCATCATCATCATCATCATCATCATCATCATCATCATCATCATCATCATAGATGGTCACATTTGACTTCTTTAACTTAGTTTGGTCATCGTTCGTGAATGATCCATTTATGCAAACAAACGATTAGATGCTCTGGCTCACTGTACATAAATAATTTTTTTACTTGTTTTCCCTGGAAAAATATTTTGAATCATATATTTTAATTTAAATTTATTTAGAATTCATTTCATGTAAGAAAAATGAATTATTCAAGTTTTAAACATTATTGAAGTTAAATTGTGAAACTGTATTCATGTTCAGAGAAAGATAACCCGTGGGGTTGGATGCTCAACTAGTCAAACAGTTACTGGGGTAGTAGATTGCAAGGTGATGATTTTAGTTTAGTTACTGGGGTAGTAGATTGCAAGGTGATGAGTTTAGTTTAGTTACTGGGGTAGTAGATTGCAAGGTGATGATTTTAGTTTAGTTACTGGGGTAGTAGATTGCAAGGTGATGAGTTTAGTTTAGTTACTGGGGCAGTAGATTGCAAGGTGATGATTTTAGTTTAGTTACTGGGGTAGTAGATTGCAAGGTGATGATTTTAGTTTAGTTACTGGGGTAGTAGATTGCAAGGTGAAGTTTTTAGTTTAGTTACTGGTGCATTAGATTGCAGGGTGATGAGTTTAGTTTAGTTACTGGGGTAGTAGATTGCAAGGTGATGATTTTAGTTTAGTTACTGGGGTAGTAGATTGCAAGGTGATGATTTTAGTTTAGTTACTGGGGTAGTAGATTGCAAGGTGATGAGTTTAGTTTAGTTACTGGGGTAGTAGATTGCAAGGTGATGATTTTAGTTTAGTTACTGGGGGAGTAGATTGCAAGGGTGATGAGTTTAGTTTAGTTACTGGGGTAGTAGATTGCAAGGTGATGATTTTAGTTTAGTTGTTTGTTGAATGGACAGAAATTTACTCAAATAAGAATTTTTAGCTTTATTGATCGGAGACCAAAACTAAAACATGTGGTTCTACATTTGACTCTTGGACTCTAAAATTCGCCTTGTGGTTGGGTGGGAGGGAAAACATTAAAATTATAAATTATATTATTCAAGCCTAACTGCCGAAATCCAAGACTGCCTTATTTTAAAAACAATCAAATAAAGGGTGTTAAGAAAAACTCATCAGGAGCTATATTTGTAATCTCTGCTGCTATTGTTACTAATCATTGTTTGATTTAGCTGCTCTGTAGAGTGGAAGCAACCTGTAAATCCTTCAATTATGGAAATGTAATGTAACAGATCAGGGGGAGAAAATTCGAGGAATTGCATTTTATTTTTATTTTTTAATAACCTTGGATAAATATATGAATAAACATATACTGGTTTCTAGGAGATGTGTGAACTGTGTCCTGATGAAATATCAAATGGATATAAAGATATTGGACGTAACACTGATGGAATGTAAGCTAACTCTTATCAGAGGTTTCCAGACGAAATTTAGCCCCAAACGGAGGCTGACACATCGCCTCGCCCCTCCTGAAGTGTAAAGAAAAGTCAAATTCCTCTAAGCGTTTTAGGCACTCTTTGAATTTAAAAATGAACCAATTTTCTCTTTGTGCAACCACCAGGCTTCTAGCGGCCTTATTCCGTTTTTTTGTGGTTCATGTTCTAACATTTAAAGTTGCAGAGCGGCGGTCGGAACTTTTGTGTGGATTATTGTGAGTCATAAACGTTTGATCTTAAAGACTCTGTATGAGTGACATATCAATGTGTTAAAGACTCTGTATGAGTGACATATCAATGTGTTAAAGACTCTGTATGAGTGGCATATCAATGTGTTAAAGACTCTGTATGAGTGACATATCAATGTTTGATTCAAAACTGTATCATTTAAAGCTTTGTCTGACCAGGAATGAGATTTTCATGATTTCTTTTAAATATTTTTTAACTGATTTTCCTTTAAAAAGGACATTTGGATTTTTTTTCTTCAGAAATAATGGAAGAAATGATCAGAATTAAACACCTTTCAAACGAGAAAAGCGATTAAACCTTTCACATTATCTATCAGATTCTGGTTTAAAGGGTATTGTTGCAAATCATCCCTCTCTTTAAATGGAGAGTAACTTGAAATTACACCTGTTGTCCCTTTAAGTTTATTTTAGTCATGAACCAAGGGTGAAGTTAATTGAAATTATAAAGTTTTAGATTAAAAATAAAAATTATAAATTTTGTTAAAGGTTCTTCTACACTGCAAGCAGGAAGGAGGATCAGAAAATTACTGAAGCGGTGATTAGTTCTAACATTTTCAAATACATTTTTCACGAATTTCAGTCATAAACAGTAAGAGCCGGAATTAATTTATAATTAAAAAGACGACTTTTCAATCCACCCCCTTGTGATTTTTTCTTTTCAACTTAAAACAGTTAACAATAGAACGACTAAACATTTTTAACTTATTTAACGTATTTTTTTCAATCACTAAAATTGCAAAATGTTCGCTTTACGGAATAGAAATTATTAAATTTTTAAATAAATATAATAAAACTTCGAATGCTGAGCTCTCAGAGCAGAGAATTCCAAAAGTTTTTTTGCGCAAATAATTGTTACAGTCTGCAGGTATGTTTTCGCGGAATTTTTTTTCTCGCAAAATTATATTTTGCGAAATTTCGCATTGTTTTCCTAACAATTTATTTTCAGCTGTCTGTCTGCCCAATATCTCATCCTTTTCCATTTGCTGGTGGTCTTAAGTGCTGTGAGGTCAAATACTTTTAAATTAAGATTACTCAAAAAGGTCTGAAGGAGTAAAACAGATACTAAACTGGTCTGTATAGTACACAGATACTAAACTGGTCTGTATAGTAAACAGATACTAAACTGGTCTGTATAGTAAACAGATACTAAACTGGTCTGTATAGTAAAACAGATACTGAACTGGTCTGTATAGTAAAACAGATACTAAACTGGTCTGTATAGTAAACAGATACTAAACTGGTCTGTATAGTAAAACAGATACTAAACTGGTCTGTATAGTAAACAGACACTAAACTGGTCTGTATAGTTAACAGATATTAAACTGGTCTGTATAGTAAACAGATACTAAACTGGTCTGTATAGTAAACAGATACTAAACTTGTCTGTATAGTTAACAGATATTAAACTGGTCTGTGTATAGTAAAACATTGATGAAATGTATTTCAGAAGAATTTGGCTGATCCTGCAAATGTTGTAACTAATTCACATGGATATCTTACTCTCAGTTCAAACACATGCTTGTGAGTTCATATTTATACATATTTTTTAGAAAAGATACTTTTAATTGATGGAATTAGGATTAGTTAGAATGGAGCTAATGAGTTCGGATTAGTTAGAATGGAGTTAATATGTTAGGAATATTTAGAATGGAGTCAATGAGTTAGGAATAGAATGGAGTCAATGAGTTAGGAATAGTTAGAATGGAGTCAATGAGTTAGGAATATAATGGAGTCAATGAGTTAGGAAAAGTTAGAATTTAGTTAATGAGTTAGGAATAGTTAGAATGGAGTCAATGAGTTAGGAATAGTTAGAATGGAATCAATGAGTTAGGAATAGTTAGAATGTAGTTAATGAGTTAGGAATAGTTATAATGGAGTGTGTTACTTTTAAAATGATGTGCCAAGTCTATTTATCTAATAATCTCTTGTTTAGGGGAACAAATGTTGTTTGTCCTTTTACAGTGTGTTCTAGAAACCAGACTTTAAATGCTCTCTCAATTCTCAAGGACAGTTGCAACAAATTATTATTTTTCGTCGATATATTTACACTCAAATAGTATACAATTCAAATCTTTCACTGTTAGCCAACATCATAATTTGATCTTTTTTTAAATATCTATTATTTTTCTTCAATATGTTTACACCCAGAATAGTATACAATTCAAATCTTTCATTGTTAGCCAACATCATAATTTGATCTTTTTTTAAATATTGCTTGTCAATTTGATCTGTTCATCTTTTGATTTATTTGATCTTTCATGGCGGGATTTTTTTTACTTCCTACAATTATTTGGTTATGAAAATAGACTCTTTAGGGTTGTAATATTTTTTAAAGATTAAGATATTTATTCTTTGCGAATACATTTAAAGATTTCAACTGGTTTATATTAATACATTACAATATTAAGCATTCAATTTTCATAATTTCCATAAGTAAAGCTGGGTTCGCCTTCGTAGAATCTGGTTCAGGCTCAGGATAAGGATTAGGTTCAGGTTTAGGGTAAAGATGAGGTTTATTTTCAGGCTCAGGATCAGGATCACGTTCAGGTTTAGGGTAAAGATGAGGTTTAGTTTCAGGCTCAGGATCAGGATTAGGTTCAGGTTTAGGGTAAAGATGAGGTTTATTTTCAGGCTCAGGATCAGGATTAGAGTCAAGTAGGATCGGATTCTTTATGGCAATCAACTCAAAAGAGGTATAAAAACTCGTCCAAGAGTAGTATCAAATCTCAGCTTAAAGTTGAGTTAAAGTCAGGTTTCAGCCGAGTTTTGTTCATTGGAAGCGTTTACTGTTCCTTTTGTAGCAATCACATCAATCACACGGACGGTCTTGGGTATTTTTATGGAGCACTCCTTGGGCTAGTGGGGTTTCAGAGCCCTCTCCTTTGTCAGAGAAGTACTACAAGACAGACAGAGCCTGTTCTTTGCCGACTGCACGAAACTCCTCTGGGCTTCTGCCTCAGGGTTATTGTGAACGAGTTTCATCCAAATCTTGAAAAGACGACATCTAGTGTCCTATTTGTTATTTTAATTAATCTATGGAGCTTGCCTTGAAAAAATGGGCTATAAGACCAGGATGGGCGGATTTTTGGTAATGTCAATTTGGTAATGACAGTTTGGTAATGAAAATTTGGTAATGACAATTTTGTAATGACAATTTGGTAACGACAATTTGGTAATGACAATTTGGTAATGACAATTTGGTAATGACAATTTGGTAATGACAATTTGGTAATGACAATTTGGTAACGACAATTTGGTAATAATAATTTGGTAATGACAATTTGGTAATGACAATTTGGTAACGACAATTTGGTAATGACAATTTGGTAATGACAATTTGGTAATGACAATTTGGTAACGACAATTTGGTAAGCTCACAAAAGTGACAATTTGGTAATAAAAATTTAGTAAACGAAATAAAAGTGATATTATGTAAAATTCATTTATTAGTTTTTTATTCAATTGAAATTGAAAATAATTGTAAAATTCGCAATATTTTCTAAAAACCACGTTTCAATCTCAGTTGTGTCATATCTTGCAAGAAGAGGAGACTTGGTTTAATAAAGTTACCAAATTGTCATTCGTTTGTAGTTACTTAATTGTCAATGTTAGGAAGTTGTTACCAAAATGTTATTTCCAAATTGTCACTTTTTTGTAGTTACCAATTTGTCCATACCAAATTGTTACTTTTTTGTAGTTACCATATTGTCATTACAATGTTGTCACTCTTTTGTAGTTACCAATTTGTCCTTTCCAAATTGTCACTTTTTTGTTACCAATTTGTCATTACCAAATTGTCACTTTTGTGAGCTTACCAAACTGTCATTACCAAATTGTCACTTTTTTGTAGTTACCAAATTGTCATTACCAAATTGTCACTTTTTTGTTGTTACCAATTTGTCCTTACGCTTACCAAATTGTCATTACCAAATTGTCGTTACCAAATTGTCACCTTACCAAATTGTCATTACCAAATTGTCATCACCAAATTGTCATTACCAAATTGACATTACCAAAATTCCACCCGTCAAGAACAGCCTTTATAGGGTTATAACTGTTGGTCTTATTGTAAAATAAATTTTCAATACTTTTCAGTACAACATTTTTAGAATAGATTTGAAAGTCAAGTATAACTAAAAGTTTGTCATTCATAATTTGTAATTCTGATTGTAAGATCCCATATGCTGATCTCCGAGATCACTACCAGGTGGAAGAAATACCAAACACGGCATCATCCTCTAGCTGCCAGTGGTATTGTGAAACTGACACTATGTGTAAGGTAAGTAACCAAGAATTTCATTTCCTGGCTTTCCAAATTTAAAACCCCTGTAATTTAAGCCAAAATACAGAGTGAAAATTCATAGTGAAAATACAGCTAGTTTTTACACCAGTTTTAAATTGATTACATTTGTTAGGGTTGGTATTGGATTTGGTCTGATTATCCTGGATCTGCAGCAAAGAAATGTGTTTTGATGAATGGCTCCAATTTAAAATTTAGGGTATCCTCAGGGTAGGTGTTTAGAAAGAAAATCCAGCAGAAAATCTATTCATTCATAAATGCATTACAATTCCTTGGGATAAAATGTTTTCTGACCTCAGGTTTTTCTGATTAAAGGGTTTCTGACAAAAAATGTGCTTAGCATTGCTTGTAAATAATGGTACCCTTGGTGCTTCATGTAAATGGTAAAAAGCATGGGTAATCCAATACATTTTTGCCAGGTCACTGATGACTACAGCTGGGTTCAAATCCAGCATCATTGTCTGGAACTAGATTATCAGCTGATGAATCCAGCATCATTGTCTGGAACTAGATTATCAGCTGCTGAATCCAGCATCATTGTCTGGAACTAGATTATCACCTGCTGAATCCAGCATTATTGTCTGGAACCAGATTATCAGCTGCTGCTGAATCAAGCAATAATGTCTGGAGCTAAATTATCAGTTAATTTAATATAAAACACAATTTTAGATTATTTACAAATACATGATAGCAAGTGAGATAGTATATTTTATTTAAATCATAGGCAGAGTTTAATCTACGAACCAAAATTGCGTAATGATTAATTGATTGCCGTAGAGAATTTCGTCATTATATCTACATTTTAAACATTTTAACTTGAAAAACGTATTTTTTTTGCTAACTCAAATATCAAATGTTTTCATATTTTAGTTTATAATGGCTAACACATAATGGCTGATGTTAAGTTACTGAAAAACGTCTAGTATAGTGTTTAAGGCAAAGGTACTATGTCCATATTTTTGCTCTGGAATTCAGAAATATAAACCAGCTTTTTCTTTGGCCACAGTTTTCTTTAAAAAGTAAGACTAAAACCAATTATGTTCATCATTTATATTTGCCTAAAGCAAAATTACATTAAACAATATAAAAGTTTACAAACTAATACTCTTTTCTCTGGATATCGAATTTTATACTTGACAGGGTTTGCCAAAAAACAGGTGCAATACAAGACTTTTAGCATGAGTATAGCTTATAGCTATTCAGAGGTGGTTTTCAGAAAAGGGGTTTCTTGGTCCCAGTCTAGTGTTTTTCGTTTTCTAAAAATGTGGTATGATGACAGCACTGCAAGGCCTGATAGATTTTCGCACATTGCTTTGAAACTAACACTGGGTTTGCAGAACTTATGCAGTTTCTTTAGAATCGCCTTATTTGATGGTGAGATATATCCTCTTGAGCCGATTTCAAAAGGATGAACAGACACATCCCTAGTTGTTACATCTGTGATAAAATGTTCATACTTGTTCATCTTTTGAGCGTTGGCATTTTTGATATTTGTTTCCAATGGGACAGTAAGCTTAAAAATATCCATCTTTTCCTCCATTCTATCGATAATTACTAGATCTGGTTTCTCTGTGGTCACAAGGAGGTTTACTGAGAAACGTCTAACAGTGTTTATGGCATAGGAACTATGTCCATTGCTAGCTGAAGAGTTTGTGTCCTGGTTGTCATTTATAGCTGACTGACTGTCTCTGGACTGATACAGTTCTGCACAAAGTTTTAAGAGTACAGCATTTACTACATATATACGCCAGGAGTTACATCAACTGTTCTTTAAACAAGCGGCACTATTTACAGTAACTTGGTTGCAAACCATGTTTGGTTTACACTAAATATATTCAAAATTTAGCTTGTATAGTAAACAGTTATGTCTAATTGTACCTGCCGCACCCTCTTCTAACTGAAACAAATCACTCCATTTAAGCTTAAGTTTGGGCTTTCAACCTACTACATGAATGTCTTTTTTTTTATTGTTTCATGAAAAATACTTCTAGTAACTGTTAAACGTGATATTTTGCTTTACTAAGAATAGCTCTTTACTTAGAAAAATGTTGTTCAAGATATTTGGGTTATTTTTAAGTAAACTTCATCTTCATACAAAAATGACAAATTTGGATTAATCAAAAAATATTAGAAAAAAGGATTTTGATTTTGTAAAAATGATTTTTGACTTTTTCTTCAACTTCTTATAAAAAATCTCCTTTATTTTAGCATTTAACTATCCCTGAGGTTATGTGAGTTGCCACAAAATATTTGGCCAGATTTTTAGTTTACTGAACACAGACCAGCCAAAGTTATAAATATTTATTTTAGTTTACTGAACACAGACCAGCCAAAGTTATAAATATTTATTTTAGTACTGAACACAGACCAGCCAAAGTTATAAATATTTATTTTAGTTTGCTGAACACAGACCAGCCAAAGTTATAAATATTTATTTTAGTTTACTGAACACAGACCAGCCAAAGTTATAAATATTTATTTTAGTTTACTGAACACAGACCAGCCAAAGTTATAAATATTTATTTTAGTTTACTGAACACAGACCAGCTAAAGTTATAAATATTTATTTTAGTTTACTGAACACAGACCAGCTAAAGTTATGAATATTTATTTTAGTTTACTGAACACAGACCAGCCAAAGTTATAAATATTTATTTTAGTTTACTGAACACAGACCAGCTAAAGTTATGAATATTTATTTTAGTTTACTGAACACAGACCAGCCAAAGTTATAAATATTTATTTTAGTGGTACACTTCCAAATGCAGAATGGACAGCCTTCATGACAAATTTATCTTTTTACCGTCATTTCTGATTTTTAATTATCATGAGATACATGTATTTACACTTTACATATAAAATATCAAAACAGTTGACAAGGGTATTAAGAAATAGAATAAACCCTAGCTAAGAATGTTCTTTAATTTTTTGTATTATAAGAAATGTATATACATCTTTTTTCCCAAATGTATGCTTAAAAGCAAATCATGCATTTTGGGGGTTATGTTTTCTTTTACATTTTGAGCATTGTAAACAAAAACATAAAGATCACTTTAATTTATAATTTTGTTGTAACTTTATAGATAATATATTCATTATATTTTTATTTATTTATGTTCATTGAGTTCAGATTTTTAGTAGATATTAATACAATGTTTGCCATATACACTCATTTTTTTAAATCATAGATATTTTTTTACGGATTTTAATCATTAGACTGCACAAAGAAAATAATAGCTTAAGAAAAGAATTTAGTTTCTGAAATCATCTTGTAATAATTCTTTTATTTTGAAACAGTATATTCTTGAAATTCAGCAGTTTGAATTTGAATATTTTTCGTATTAATGTTTCAGGTAGACATTTTAATATAAGATCTTTTAAGAAATCAATAAAAAACACAAAGGAAAATTTTTACAACAATAAAAAAATCATTAACTTTAACTTTTTTCTATTTTTTTTCTGAAAAACCAATCAAATAAATCATAATTATACACACAATTGGTCACATTCTTCGCACAGCGCGCGGTTTCCTTCGTTGTTTCTGGAGCAGAATTGCGCAAGTGACCTTTAATATAAATCACAAATAAAAACTAACAATTTTCAGAACGAAGATGAATCCACGAATATCTCATTTATGTTGGATAAACATTTTATTAATCAATTATGTCACTCATCATATTAGCATCTGCTGTCCCATTATTCTTCTTTAATTAAAACCCTCCTTGATGTTTTGCTCTCAACATATCCAACAGTTTGCTGTTCTTCCCTTTCCCCATCTTGTATCCGAGAAAATCACTGGAAGATTTGTTTGCGGAGATCTTGGCATTCTTGTAATCATCAAAAGCCCATTGTTCTGTTCTGCAGGTATCTCTAAACAATTTTTTAGATTTAAAAACGGTTTGAAAATAAAATATTTCTCATTCATACTGCTGATTAGTTCCGAATAATTATTAAAACGGCTAACCAGGTCAGGCCCAACACTTTGGTGGAACATCATTTTTTTGGTTTTTGGTTTCCCAAATTTTAAGCAATTGCAATTTCCCACTTTCCCAACCTATCCACGCACATTCAAAACCAGCCAAACCTATCTCAACCTAACTGGATAACTTATACGAACTTATCCGGTATCTAACCCAACCAAGATCAACCTGGCCCAAGCTATCCCAACTTGACCCAGCCTATCTCAAACCCGACCCACCCCTCCCCAACCTAGCCCAGCCAAACCTTTCCCTATCTACTAACCCATCCTCAAACTAACCCAACAAAGCCCTCCCTATCCCAACAATCCTTAATATATCCAAACATTCCCAAACCTATTCCAATTTATTCTCCTCCTATCCAACCTATCCATCTCCAACATATCCCAACCTAATCCAACCTATCAAAACATACCCGAACCCATCCCATTGTATTCCCAACATAGCAAATCTATCCTGACCCTATCCCAACCCGACCCAACTTATCCCTGCAACCTATTCTATCCCAACCTATCCCAATATATCCCAACCTATCTCATCCCGACCCAATATATCCCAACCTATCCATGTAACCTTTTCTATCCCAGCATATCCCAATGTATCCCAACTTATCTCCACCTGACCCATCATATCCCAACCTATCCCTACAATCGATTCTATCCCAACCTATTCCAATGTATCACAACCCTCCTCGACCCGACCTAACATTCTCTGAAACCTATTCTGTCCCAACGAATCACAATGTATCCCAACCTATCTCAAACCAACTCATCATATCCTATAAACCTATCCCTGCAACATATCCTATCCCAACCTTTTCCAACATATCCCTTAACATATCTCAACCCAACCCAACATATCCCAACCATTCCCTTCACCCTATTCTATCCCAACCTATTCCAACGTATCCAAACCTATCTCAATCCGACCCAACATATCTCAACCTATCCCAATGTATCCCAATCCTCCTCGACCTATCCCAACCCAACCTTTTACCTCATTTCCAGTAGTATTTTTCCTGCTGGGTTATCTACTGGGACAACATGCACTGATATCATTTTATCCTAAATTAAACAAGAAGTTAAACTATTTAAGTTATCCAGGGGGCCAGATCTTTGAAACTTCTCCATGTGTATTGGCCTGAGTGTACACTTAGCATAGTTTACTGATAAAGGATTACGAGATTATGGCCTAATGATACGGTAAACACATCAAATATGCAGTACACTCTCGGAGTACAAGTGTATGGGGAGGTTTTGTATTTTAAATTTTACTCAGTTTTCTTAGAACCGTTTATTAACAATGGAATATTGCTCTGTAAAAGACTGTAATGTACATCTTCCTGTGAAAATGTAATCCTGCACATTATATAGGAGTAGTGGATTTTAATAGTTACATGGAAAACAAATCTCCATTTAAACATTTTCAGAAATCACCCCTGGGTACTGTATTATACAGATTGGCCTTTGAAAGTAGAGTGTTTGGCCTGTACAATTAGTGAAGGATTAGCATACATCATCACTCTATATACTATAACCTCGTTGAAGTTTTCATTATAGCTCTTGAGAATCCTATCCGGATTAATACCTTGAGAAACCCGTCCTGGAATCTACGGAAGAACCAAAGATCTTGAGAATCCAAAAGAGAGGTTCGACTTGAAAAATGAAAATTAAAAGTAAAGAAATAAATTCTGAGAAATCTGGTGAAATGCATTAATAATCATTGCAACTTTTTATTAAAGCTGTTTCGTATCATTTGTTATACCGGATTCACAGAAAGTAAACATTTTGAGCCAAACTTCCGAACAAAAACTTCAGAAAATTTTAGGCAATCTATAAGAGCGTACTAAAGGGTATCTTTGTAAATCAGCATGTTACTCTTTGAATAGATATCATATCGTTTTTAAAAGGTTACAATTAAAACCTAAAGGTGTTTGTGCATGCAAGATGGCCGCTAAACATGGAGTTGATATTTTACTATAAAAATGGTGTTTACCCGAAGTAGTATCCATTGTCTAGAAAACCTTGAATCATTTTCTTGGTTGGAGGAAACTCAGGGATTATAAGCAGAGCATCAGGCATCAGCATGCCGGGCATACCCTGAATATAAAATTGGGTATCAGCATGCCGGGCATACCCTGAATATAAAATAGGGTATCAACATGCCGGGCACACCCTGAATATAAAATAGGGTATCAGCATGCCGGGCATACCCTGAATATAAAATAAGGTATCAGAATGCCGAGAACACCCTGAATATATAATAGATTAGACATTAGTACCTCAATAGAAGTAGATCCAACATACTCCCATTAGACATTAATACCTTAATAGAAGTATCCGACATACTCCCATTAGACATTAGTACCTTAATAGAAGTATCCGACATACTCCCATTAGACATTAATACCTTGATAGAAGTAGATCCAACATACTCCCATTAGACATTAGTACCTTGATAGAAGTAGATCCGACATACTCCCATTAGACATTAGTATCTTAATAGAAGTAGATCCAACATGCTCCCATTAGACATTAGTACCTTGATAGAAGTAGATCCGACATACTCCCATTAGACATAAATACCTTAACAGAAGTAGATCCGACATGCTCCCATTAGAAATTAATACCTTGATAGAAGTAGATCTGACATGCTCCCATTAGACATTAGTACCTTGATAGAAGTAGATCCGACATTCTCCCATTAGACATTTTTGCCTTGACAAAAGTAGATCTGACATGCTCCCGTTAGACATTAGTACCTTGATAGAAGTAGATCCGACATGCTCCTATTAGACATTAATACCTTGATAGAAGTAGATCCGACATGCTCCCATTAGACATTAATACCTTGATAGAAGTAGATCCGACATGCTCCCATTAGACATTAATACCTTGATAGAAGTAGATCCGGCATGCCCCCATAAGACATTAAAACCTTAATAGAAGTAGATCCGACATGCTCCCATTAGACATTAGTACCTTGATAGAAGTAGATCCAACATACTCCCATTAGACATTAATACCTTGATAGAAGTAGATCTGACATGCTCCCATTAGACATTAATACCTTGATAGAAGTAGCCCATTAGACATTAGTACCTTGATAGAAGTAGATCCGACATGCTCCATTAGACATTAGTACCTTGATAGAAGTAGATCCGACATCCTCCTCCATTAGACATTAGTACCTTGATAGAAGTAGATCCGACATCCTCCTATTAGACATTAGTGCATTGAGAGAAGTAGATTCAACATGCCCCCATTAGACATTAGTACCTTGATAGAAGTAGATCTGACATACTCTCATTAGACATTAGTACCTTGATAGAAGTAGATCCGACATACTCCCATTAGACATTAGTACCTTTATAGAAGTAGATCCGACATGCTCCTATTAGACATTAGTACCTTGATAGAAGTAGATTCTGACATGCTCCCATTAGACATTAATTCCTTAATAGAAGTAGTTCTGACATACTCCCATTAGACATTATTAGTACCTTGATAGAAGTAGATCCGACATGCTCCCATTAGACATTAGTACCTTGATAGAAGTAGATCCGACATGCTCCTATTAGACATTAGTACCTTGATAGAAGTATATCAGACATGCTCCTATTAGACATTAGTGCATTGAGAGAAGTAGATTCGACATGCCCCCATTAGACATTAGTACCTTGATAAAAGTAGATCCGACATGCTCCTATTAAACATTAGTACCTTGATAGAAGTAGATTCTGACATGCTCCAATTAGACATTAATTCCTTGATAGAAGTAGATCTGACATACTCCCATTAGACATTAGTACCTTGATAGAAGTAGATCCGACATGCTCCATTAGACATTAGTACCTTGATAGAAGTAGATCCGACATGCTCCTATTAGACATTAGTGCATTGAGAGAAGTAGGTTCGACATGCCCCCATTAGACATTAGTACCTTGATAGAAGTAGATCCGACATACTCCCATTAGACATTAGTACCTTAATAGAAGTAGATCCGACATGCTCCCATTAGACATTAGCACCTTAATAGAAGTAGATCCAACATGCTCTCATTTGACATTAGTACCTTAATAGAAGTAGATTCGACATGCCCCCATAAGACATTAGTACCTTGATAGAAGTAGATCCGATATACTCCCATTAGACATTAGTACCTTAATAGAAGTAGATCCGACATGCTCTCATTAGACATTAGTACCTTGATAGAAGTAGATCCGACATGCTCCCATTAGACATTAGTACCTTGATAGAAGTAGATCCGACATGCTCCCATTAGACATTAATACCTTGATAGAAGTAGATCCGACATGCTCCCATTAGACATTAGTTCCTTAATAGAAGTAGATCCGACATGCTCCCATTAGACATTAGTGCCTTGATAGAAGTAGATCCGACATGCTCCCATTAGACATTAGTACCTTAATAGAAGTAGATCCGACATGCTCTCATTAGACATTAGTACCTTAATAGAAGTTGATCCAACATGCTCCCATTAGACATTAGTACCTTAATAGAAGTAGATCCGACATGCTCTCATTAGACATTATTACCTTGATAGAAGTAGATCCGACATACTCCCATTAGACATTAATACCTTGATAGAAGTAGTTCCGACATACTCCCATTAGACATTAGTACCTTAATAGAAGTAGATCCGACATGCTCCCATTTGACTTGAGATTTCTCAGGTTCATCAAGTTTATCTAAATAGTTGTCCCTTTCCTTTTCAACAACCTCCTGAACATTAGATGGCTTAAACACAAAAGTTTGGGAGAGGGAGAGGGGGGCAATTGTCGAAAAGGGAAGATGCAATGCATGTTTCACAGCAAAGATACCTTGCTAAACAGAGTTTAAGAACAAGAAAACTCTGAAACAGGAAGACGACATTAAACTCAAGATTTATGACATTAAATAAATTCATTTCACTTTATAAGTAATTTATAAGCTCTACAGTAAAACTGTTTGCTTTATAACGGCATTAAATATGCTAAATAGTGCTTTAATGGAGTCTGACTATTCCAACAATGTCTGGTGTAAATGGTGTAAATCTTGGACATTTTAAACATAGACTTTTGTACATACAGGGTGTCCCACGAAACATGACAGTTGGTGAATAGTTTAAAATGTCTTCCTCAAATAATTTGTTAAGTTGTTTGATACCTAAAAGATGATGATGATAAATACGAAATGGCAGTAATATCATAGAAAAATTGATTTCAAACAAATATATATTTTAGTAAAGATTTGTTTAACGAAAAAAAATGCAAAAAGTCTTAAATATCTGATACAGTATCATGGAAGAAGACATAAAAACAATTCACCAACTGTCATGCTTCGTGGGACACCCTGTATCAGAATTTGGTTTAAAATATTAAAGAAAGTTGAATACCTTTATCTCTTCATAAGGAATATCTAGACAAAAGTCTTCATTTGATGGCATACCACCAGATAGATCCATGTACATATAATCTAAATATTATAATATTCTTGGAACAATTCCACCAGATAGTGCCATGTTCATATAATCTAAATATTATAATAATCTTGGAACAATGCCACCAGATAATTCCATGTTCATATAATCTAAATATTATAATAATCTTGGAACAATTCCACCAGCTAATTCCATGTTCATATAATCTAAATATTATAATAATCTTGGAACAATTACATCTGCAGATAGTTCCATGTAGATATAATCTAAATATTATAATAATCTTGGAACAATTCCACCAGATAGTTCCATGTACATATAATCTAAATATTATAATAATCTTGGAACAATTCCACCAGATAGATCTATGTACATATAATCTAAATATTATAATATTCTTGGAACAATGCCACCAGATAATTCCATGTTCATATAATCTAAATATTATAAGAATCTTGGAACAATGCCACCAGATAGTTCCATGTTCATATAATCTAAATATTATAATAATCTTGGAACAATTACATCTGCAGATAATTCCATGTTCATATAATCTAAATATTATAATAATCTTGGAACAATTTCACCAGATAGTTCCATGTACATTATTATGAAGAGAGGGTTCTGTGGTTCATTTATTAAAGAGAATGTTCAACTAAACAGTATTAATCAATGTTCTAATTCAGGTTCATCAGCTCTCGGTAGATGTTGTCCGAGATCTTCTAGAGTGGAAGAGTGGGAGAGGTCAGATGGGTTGACCATCTCCTTCCAGTGCTTGTCGTAGAGTGTGCAAGATCTGGGGTTTTTTCCATAATCAAGAATTAGATAATACGAGTTACGAAGCATAATCAATATTCTCTACAAAATTATGAAATAATAAACATCAATTATGTACAAAATAAAACGAGCACTATTTAACTTCCTTTTTCCATTTACTAGTTAGAATTACATAATGTAAAGTATATTTAAACTAATGGTTCTTTGTAAAGGGGGGAAGTGGTACAAGAAAGGGAGGGGGGGTTTTAACCGTCATTTCTTTGTTGGTATTTTGTCCAGACATCAGGGATGGGATTATCTCTGATTAGGGAGAAGAGAGGATTCAGATTCTATAATTGTTAGGTGCAAGAGATTAGATCTATGGGAAAGAACAATAATTCCATCAGATATCTGCTTTTAGAATTTAAAATTGTCTGAAATCAAGGATTAAGGAAAACAGGGATTCATTACAACCTCCCCTCTCAAAGAAGAAATGTCATTTGCAGGAATAATTTTTTTTAAATTTTTTTAGATTTTTTTTAGGTTTTTATTTGCTTTTCGAATTTTATCCTTTTTATTTGCTTTTTCTAAATTTTTTCCTTTTTATTTACTTTTTCTAATTTTTTTTCAATACATACATTAGGGTTGTGTTTAATGGCGTAACATAAGGCTTTCAGATTGGGCAGAATTTCCAAATTGTGCTCTGTTATTCCGGACAGAGAATGAAACTTCAGAAGGTTCAGAATTTCTCAAGATTAGGGATCTATGAATATAAAGAAGGCCGCGCCTTGTACAACTGATAGACATGGACAATGTTATTACAAAAATGATAATTGAAATAACTTGAGTTGAAATCAAGGTGATGATGATTTTGTGTTCAATAGTGTTTGTGTTCAAATTTCCTAAAACTAGGGCTATATCATGGTAAGGTGTGTGTGCTCTAAGTGCTGGGTGTGCTCTAGTGGAAGGTTGTATAAGATGTTCTGCCTTTCTAGATGATAATACATATGTGTTCATTTGGTTAAGACACTTGTTAAGTTTGTGTTGTGAAGTGTTCAGGTTATTAGGTGTTATCCTGGCTGGGATAGTGTGTGTTTCTAAAAGTGTATGTGTGGATAGAGTTAGTGGGAAACAGTCTGTGGTTTGAAGTGTGTCTGTGTTTTTATGTATTCTTAGGTATTCGTTATCTAGATAGAGTGTATGGTTTGTGAATCTCTCTGTAATTGTAAATATTCCGGTTTTTAACTCTACTGTTTCTGTCTTTACTTTTGCAATGTGTGTTTTCAGTGTATCCTTAGTATATTGTAAAGGGGGTAAAAGAGGGATTGGGGGGTTCAAACAAAGACAATCTTTTATTATTTCTGATTCTTTAGCAAAAGTGGCTGAATTTTTTGAATAAATTAGGAATGGGTTGTCGGAGTTAAAAGTTCCCAAACAATGAGAAGAGTAAATATAACTCGTTACTCTCCCGCCTGAATGAAAAAGAGGTATTTATTTGGTTTGGATTTGCTTTTTGTATGTAAAAATATTGCTGTTTGAAAAAGTTTTTTGATTTTCCTAATGTAATTATTAGTTTTGTTTGTTAATGTCTGCCGTATTGTTCCTGTTTTTATCTGTATTGTCTGCTAAAGTAAAGCAGTGTGTAAAATACCACGCGGTCTTTAGCAGTGTGTAAAATACCACAAGGTATTTAGCTGTGTGTAAAATACCACGAGGTCTTTAGCAGTGTGTAAATTACCACGAGGTTTTTAGCAGTGTGTAAAATACCACGAGGTATTTAGCTGTATGTAAAATACCACGAGGTATTTAGCAGTTTGTAAAATACCACAAGGTATTTAGCTGTGTGTAAAATACCAAGAGGTATTTAGCTGTGTGTAAAATACCACGAGGTATTTAGCAGTGTGTAAAATACCACGAGGTATTTAGCAGTGTGTAAAGTACCGCAAGGTATTTAGCTGTGTGTGAAATACTACAAGGTATTTAGCACTGTGTAAATTACCAAGAGGTATTTAGCACTGTGTAAAATACAACTAGGTATTTAGCTATGTGTAAAATACCACGAGGTACTTAGCTGTGTGTAAAATACCACAAGGTATTTAGCAGTGTGTAAAATACCATGAGGTATTTAGCTGTGTGTAAAATACCAGGAGGTATTTAGCTGTGTGTAAAATACCACGAGGTATTTAGCTGTGTGTAAAATACCATGAGGTATTTAGCACTGTGTAAATACCAAGAGATATTTAGCTGTGTGTAAAACACCACGAGGTATTTAGTAGTGTGTAAAATATTTTTTTAAGATCTAGATATTTATTATCTCCATACAAAATAGTTTACATGTGTTTAATAATAAAGATTACAACAAATTTGTTTACATTTGTTTGAGAGATTTTTATAACAGTTAGTTTACGGATACATTTTTAAATAAAAAATTTGGAATCAAGTCTACTTTGATTATGCAAAACTTAAAAATTGAGAAATGTACCAATGAAATGGTAGGACATTAAATGCATATAATAAATTGTTGACGAGGATAGAGTTTGTGGATTGAATAGAAATTATTAAGAACAGAAGCGTTTACATATAATTTGAGCAATTTATGTAGAAATCAGTTTGCGTAGATAATTTACAATTTTTATGCAACATTGACGTAAGGTCTATATACACTATGTGAAAAATACACAGATTGTGCCAACGAAGAACATTGATGATTCTTCGTTGTTATAGATTTATATTAATTAAACAATGTAGTCTTGACACTATTTAGCCAACGTAAAGGTAAGAGACTATATCATTAAGATACATACTAGCGCGGAACATTGATGGTTCCTTGCTGCATGTTAAATTTTCTATGTAGTATAGAATCTGTATGACCGACGTGAAGAGAAGAGAATCCGAAATTAAGAAACATACAAGCTTGGAACATTGACGGTTCCTTGTAAAATAGCTTATTAGAGAAACATTAAGTTTATGTTTGAAGAAAAAACATTATACTTGAGGTCTAGACTCACGGAGAACATTGATGGTTCTGCGCTACTGTCTAGGACGTTGATGAGAGATTATGGTTTAATCTCTTCATTATTCTCTTATCTTCAATACACTAGAGCAAATATATTGCTCGTTTGTATTGGGCTACAAATTAGAGAGAGCAAAGTAGAGTAGTTGTCCCATTTTCTTGAGACGTCTTGGTTTCTCGGCGATGAGGTTAGTCGGTTCAGGAGGCGTTACAGCTTCCTCAGACTGAATCAGTAAAAAAAGATCATTAGTTTATTTTCAGAGAAAATTCTGAGTGAGAAGGAAAATTCAGATCTTAGCTCAAGTCCTCTTAATTTAATGATCATTTTATGAACGATATCACTCAAGATTTATTAATTAAAACAGATTCAGAGTGAGAAGGGAAGTTCAGATCTTAGCTCAAGTCCTCTTAATTTAAAGATCATTTTCTGAACGATATCAATAAAGATTAATTAATTAAAACAAATTATTAACAGGAACTAGATTGCAGAGGAAAAAACTCCGATCAGATTGATTATATTTGTGTGTGGACATTTTAATAAGACTCGATTTAACTGCGGGTTTTTATTTCTTAATTTTTTACGGAGGTAATTTTTTGACAGTAAAGTTGTTTAGTTTTTTGTTTGCAGTAGTAAACTTTTATATCCGAAATATCAAATTAAAGGATAAAAAATAATTTTTCAACTTATAAAATTAACATTGTAGACTTTTAAGTTTAAATTAGTTTTCGTACATAATTTAAAATCTTAAAAAATTATTAAATGGCATGTTCATTAGTTTCGGTTTAATAGGGTTTCAACCTTTACAGTCCAAAATGATCCGCGTGCACGCCCCTGCTCTCTGTATAAAAAAAAGGATTTAAAATTCATTGATAATGAAGGAGATCTGCCAGTCTTCACGGGAACTTATGGAAATATATTTTTGACCGTTATTTTTCGCCGAGAGGTGTAGCTATGAGGTCCGTCAGATCCTCTGAGGTTCTCACACTTATTCATCCTCCAGGTTACAGTTTAACTAGGTAAAGAGAAATCTATGAGGATAGGGGAAAAAAAATCTTCCATTTTCCTTTGACAGCAAGGCAGTCCGGATTATAATTAAACATGTTGATCAAGTTCTAATTTTAGAATTTCGAATATCATTGGAATTCAAGACTATAGTTTGAACATAGAAATATTAAAGTAAGATCTTCGATTTTAGCATAATTTAAAATCTTGAAATTTCATTAATGAGTATATACATCGGATTTTATTCGATCTGCTTGAAACTT